GAAAAAAGGGGGGAAAGGGGGAGAAAAGGGAAGAAAAAGGGAGGAAAAGGGGTGAAAAGGGGAGGAAAACGGGAGAAAAAAAGGGGAAAAGGGAGGAAAAGGGGGAGAAAAGGAAGGAAAATGGGGGAAAAGGGTAAATAGTGAGGAAAACGGGAGGAAACTGGGGGGAATCGGGTGGAAATGGGGGAAAAGGGAGGAAAACGGGAGGAAAACGGGGGGAATCGGGTGGAAATGGGGGAAAAGGGAGGAAAAAGGAGGAAAAGAGAGGAAATTCCGCGGCCGCGGGCGGAGGGGCAGCGGGCAGAGCGGAAACTCCGCGGGAGCGCAAAGTGAGAGAGAAAAGGGGAAAAAGAGGAAAAATCTCCAGGAAAAAGTTCGCTGGGAGCGAGGGAGAAAAATGGGGAGAAAAATGGGGAAAAAGAGGGAAAATCCTCGGGGAAAAAAGTTCGGCGGAGGTTCCGCGCTGCTTCCGCGGCTCTGCCGGCGCTTCCTGGCGGCCGCGGGGTTGATTAGCGCTGTTAATTGTTTGTTTATTAACGCGGGGCTGAGTGTTTCAAAGTCACGCTCCTTTAAAAAAAAAAAACAAACCTGGAGAAGGAGGGAGGGGGCGTTGGAGTTAATTAGGTTTATATGGGTTTTATTTGGGTTTTATATCGGTTTTATTTGGGTTTTATTTGGGTTTTATTTGGGTTTTATTTCGGTTTTATTTCGGTTTTATATCGGTTTTATATCAGTTTTTATTCGTGGTTTAGACTGGGGAGAGCGTTCCGCTCCAGCCTGGGCTTTTTCCGCTCGGAATATAAATTTAAAATAATATTAATAATCTGCCTGCGGGGCGCTTAATGCTACGGATCTTATCATTATTGTTATTTTTTAATGATAATTTGGGATGGAGGGAGGGAGGAGCGGCGGTGTCACCTCCCGCTGTCACCTGCTTTCCGCTCCGGGGTGACCCCGCCGCGGTTTTGCCTTCCCGGGAAAGATTTTTCCATAAAAAACCCGATTTTTTCCATTAAAACCCGATTTTTTTTCCATTAAACCCCGATTTTTTTCCATTAAACCCCGAATTTTTCCATTAAAAACTGAATTTTTTCATAAAAAACCCGATTTTTTTCCATAAAACCCCATTTTTTTTCCATTAAAACCCGAATTTTTCCATTAAACCCCGTTTTTTTCCATTAAACCCCGAATTTTTCCATTAAAAATTGAATTTTTTCATTAAAAACTGAATTTTTTCATAAAAAACCCGATTTTTTTCCATAAAACCCCATTTTTTTTCCATTAAAACCCGAATTTTTCCATTAAACCCCGTTTTTTTCCATTAAACCCCGAATTTTTCCATTAAAAATTGAATTTTTTCATTAAAAACTGAATTTTTTCCATTAAAAAATCCGATTTTTTTCCATTAAACCCCGATTTTTTTCCATTAAACCCCGATTTTTTTCCATTAAACCCCGAATTTTTCCATTAAAAACTGAATTTTTTCCATTAAAACCCCGATTTTTTCCATGAAAACCCGAATTTTTTCCATAAAACCCCAATTTTTTTCCATTAAACCCCAAATTTTTCCATAAAAACCCTAAATTTTTCTATTAAAAACTGAATTTTTCCATAAAAAACCCGATTTTTTGCATCCTGGCAGAGCAGCAGCGCCCGGCCGTGCTGAGATTCCCGTTTTTTTCTTCCTTTAAATGAACTTTTTTCCCATTAAAAACCGAAAATACTTTTTAATTTAATTCTCTCCCCCCTCGCGATTTCCTCCCGCGCTCTGGTGGCGCTTTTTGTTTTTTTTTTTTTTTAATTTACTTTTAATTTATTTTCCTTTTTTCCCCTCTCATTGAACTCGCCCGCAGCCACAAAAAAAAAAAAGAAAAGTTCTTTTCTCTTGTGCCGGGCAGAGTTCCAGAACAAACTGAATGATGGCGCCAAATAAAACACCCGAAAATTGAACTTTTTGTCCCAAAATCATCGCTGTCAAAGCCTGGGCGCGCTCTGCTTTCCGCGCGGTTTTTTTAAAATTTAAATAATAATTAAATTTCCTTCAGGGTTGTTTTGCAGCGAGTCCTGATGTTGATTTCCTCATTTTCCCCCCATTTTTTTATTTTTTATTTTTTGTTTCTCCCTAATGAATCCCTGCCTGGAAGCTGTTAATTAATTTTACTGGATTTTAAAGAAAAACAACCCAAAAAAAAAAAGAGGTTCCAGGACCTCTCCCCATTCTCCTTCCTGCTCGGGGATTTGCGAGCAGAGAAGAAATAAAAACGCATTTTAACGACCCAAAAAAGAAGAAATAAAAACGCATTTTAACGACCCAAAAAGAACTAAAACCACATTTTAAAGACCCAAAAAGAATAAATAAAAACCACATTTTAACGACCCAAAATGCCCCAAACTCGCCGATCTGCCCTTAAAGGGTGGCGAGCAGGATTAACAATATCAATTATTAACAGCTTTCCTCCTCTTTAATAATTAATTCCGCATCTTAGATCGAGGCAATTACGAGGAGGAAAAATCCGCGCAAAAACCTGCCGGGGGCGGGACTCGCGCTGTGTGATTATTTTTATTTCTTTTTTAATGGGAAATATTCAATATTTTGTATTTTTTTTTAACGATTTTCACCACCTCTGCCAGCTCCCAAAATTTCGTGTACGCCTCCCCTCCCCTGATGGAAAAAAAATCCCAAAATATCTCTTTTTTTTTGTTTTTTTTTAATCCCTCCCACTAGCGTGACGGGCGGGCTTTTATTTATTTTTTAATTTAAATTATATTTTTATTTATAGTTTCATTCATTCATTCATTCATTCATTCATTCATTCAGTTTGTTTATTTGAAAATTTTCTTGCTTTCACGTTTAATTTTACCCCTTTTATCATTTTATTTAATTTTTTTTAATTAATTCCGATCTTTGTTTAAAAAATAAAATGTAATTCATTATTTATTTGTTTTTATTTTTTATTTATTTGGGTTTTTTCGCTGGCTCTGGGTGACGCTGTCCACACCTCGGGCAGCAGCTCCCAGAGGAAGTTTTTGGCAGATTCGGGGCTTTTTTTGGCCAAAAAATAACTTTAAAAAATAAAAATTGTCAGGATTTATTCAGGGAAATCCCCTCCAGGTCTCCCCTCCCTGAGGGAGCAAATCCTGCGGGAAATGGGGAGAAAAAGGGAATTTTTGGGGTTGGTTCAATTGAGTGGAATGTGGGGAGGTGGGGTGGGACCCCAAAACCCCGGGGGAACCCAAAATTTGTAGAAATGAACCCAAAACCCGCAGAAATAAACCCAAAATTTGCAGAAATAAACCCAAAACTTGCAGAAATAAACCCAAAACCCGCAGAAATAAACCCAAAATTTGCAGAAATAAACCCAAAACCCGCAGAAATAAACCCAAAACCCTCAGAAATAAACCCAAAACCCGCAGAAATTAACCCAAAACTTGCAGAAATAAACCCAAAACTTGCAGTAATAAACCCAAATCTTGCAGAAATTCACCCAAAAATCTCCGGGTGCACCCAAAACCCACAGAAATGAACCCAAAACCTGCAGAGATTCACTCAAAAGTCACAGAAATTCACCCAAAACTCCCAGAAATGAACCCCAAAACCTCGAGGTTCACCCAAAACCTGCAGAAATTCACCCAAAATTGCAGAAATTCACCCAAAATCCTGCAGAAATTTCCTCAAGCCCCTCGGGGTTCACCCAAATTTGGGGTGCGGGGCTAGCTCCCCTCAAAAACTCACCCTAAAAACCCAAATTCACACCAAAAACCCCAAAATTCACCCCAAGACAGCCCAAAATCCCCCCAAATACCCCAAACTGACCCAAAAATTATCTCAAAATAGCCAAAAATCCCACCAAAAACCCCTTTTTCCCCCAATCTCCCCCCACCCCTCAGCCAACCCCGCGGCCGGCTGGCTGCAGGCGCGCTCCTCGCGCAAGAAGCGCTGCCCGTACAGCAAATTCCAGACGCTGGAGCTGGAGAAGGAATTCCTGTTCAACATGTACCTGAGCCGCGAGCGGCGGCACGAGGTGGCGCGGCTGCTGAACCTCAGCGAGCGCCAGGTCAAGATCTGGTTCCAGAACCGCCGCATGAAGATGAAGAAGATGAACAAGGAGCAGGGCAAGGAGTGAGGCCGCGGGCAGGGCCCCCGAGATCGGCGTTTATCCCCAAAAATCAGAGCGGGGTCCTCGCCCGAGCGCTGTTCGGGCTGAAGTTTGAACTTTGCATCACTTTTCTTCTGGAGGGAATTCCAGCGCCGCTCATTTTGGGGTCAAGGAGTGAGAGGACAGAGGGGCAAAGCCCCCGAGTTCGGCGTTTATCCCCAAAAATCAGAGCGGGGTCCTCGCCCGAGCGCTGTTCGGGCTGAAGTTTGAACTTTGCATCACTTTTCTTCTGGAGGGAGCGCCAGAGCGGCTCGCCCTTTTTGGGACAGGCAGTGACAGCAGACAGAGGCAGCTCCCGAAATCTCCAAATTTATCCCCAAACCCCCCAAAATCAGCGCCGGGTCCCCCCCAGTCCCAGCTCGGCCGCTCCAGCTGAAATTTTGATTATTTTAATTTTTTAAATCCCAGCCCGAAGCGCGGCTCCTTTTGGAGTTCATTTATTTTATTTTTTCCTTTTTGGGGCTCTTTCCTCCTCCCTTGTTTCCTTTTCCCCTCACTGTCGAAACAACTTTTTCCCCTTTTTTATTTAATTTTCCCCCTGAAAAATCCAAATAAAAACCCAAACCCGCCACCCCCAAACCTCTCCTTTCATTTTTTCCCCATTCACCGACGAAGATTTTTGATTTTTTTTCCCCCAAATCCGCCCAGCCCGAGCCCTCCCAGACGCTCGCGATCACCCAGACGATTTAATTAATCCGCCGCGAGACAGACACGTTCATTAAGGCTCGCCTTTAATTACACCCAACAAATCATTTGCCAGCTCCGGGGTCGCTGCTCCTCCACATCCCCAAATTCGGGGTCCCCAGTTTATTTTTAAATTTAATTTTTTTTGCTCCGTCCGCCATGCAGAATTTCCGTTTTTTGAATTATTTGGCGGGATTTGGATGGCGGCCGAATTGGGACTTGGGGGAGAAGGTTTTTTTTTGGGGCAAAACCGCCCGATTTTGGGTGGTTTGGAGTTGGGAAGGGGAGAAAAAAGAGAGAGAAAGAGAGAGGGGGGAGGGTGGGGCGCCCCCCGAGCCGAATTGTAAATGATTTAGGAGGAAAAGAAAAGGGGCGGAAGAACCCCCGCCAACTTATTCCTGACTTTTTAGGGAAGAGGAAAAACGGGATTTTTTAGGTTAAAAATTAAAAAAAAAAAAAAAAAAAAGGAAAAAATAAAGAAAAGAAAAGAAAATAAAAGCAAAAGAAAAACAAACTACCTTAGCGGAGCTTTCAGGGAGGGGCCGCTCGATATTTATAATTTATTGAGGATTTTTGGGACTTTTTTGGCGTTTTTTTCTGGAGCTGCTGCAGAGATAAAAGCGCCAACCCCAGCCCGGATTTTTTTTTAAATTTTTATTATTATTATTTAAATTTTTTTGTTTAATTCTTATTTTTGAATACTTGAAGTCGCCGCGCTCGGGCTCGGGGTGGCCCCGCGGGGATTTTTGGGGTCGGATTTTCCCCGCGGGGCTCCATCCTCATCCTCACCCGGCGGATGCAGGGCGGGATTTGGGTTTTTTTGGGGTTTTTTGGGTTTTTTGGGGGTTCGGGAGGGCGGGGTGGGGGGTTCCGTGTTGTGCCCCGTGTTTCGTGCTCGTGTTTCTGTCAGTGCTGGAGCTTCTGTCCCCGCCGTGGCTTTTTCTTAATTTTGTAAAAAAAAAAAAAATTTAAAGTTCTCTGAAGAGTTCGGTTGGTGGTGGCTGGGAAAAACCCGGAAAAAAAAAGGGAAAAAAAATTTGAAATAAATGTTTCCGTGCGCGGAATTTGGACTTTGAGGGGTTGGAGGGGAGCCGGGATGGGGAGAGGGGAGGAAAAAAGCAGAAAAAAGGCAGAAAAAAGGCAGAAAAATAACCAGAGAAAAGCAGGGGGAAAAAGCAGAAAAAAGCAGGGAAAAAAACAGAGAAGAAGCAGAAAAAGAGCAGGAAAAAAGTAGGAAAAAAGCAGGAAAAAAAGCAGAAAAAAGGCAGAGAAAAAGCAGGGGAAAAAGCAGAAAAAATAGCAGAAAAAAGGCAGAGATAAAGCAGAAAAAAGGTAGAGAAAAAGCAGAAAAAGAGCAGGGAAAAAGTAGGAAAAAAAGCAGAAAAAAAAGCAGAAAAAAAGCAGAAAAAAGGCAGAGATAAAGCAGAGAAAAGGGTAGAGAAAAAGAAGGAAAAGGCAGAGAAAAAGCAGGGAAAAAAGCAGAAAAAATACAGAGAAAAAGCAGGAAAGAAAGCAGGAAAAAAGCAGAAAAAAATCAGGAAAAAAAAAAAAGGCAGGAAAAGAGCAGAAAAAGAGCCGAAAAAGAAAGCAGAAAAAGGCAGGGAAAAAAAAAACAGAGAAAAGGCAGAAAAAGCACAAAAAAGAAAAGCAGAGAAAAAGCAGGAAAGAAAGCAGGAAAAAAGCAGAAAAAAAAATCAGGAAAAAAGCAGAAAAGGAGCAGAAAAATACAGAGAAAAAGCAGGAAAGAAAGCAGGAAAAAAGCAGAAAAAAAGCAGGAAAAAAAAAAGTAGAAAAAAGCAGAAAAAAGCCGAAAAACCAGAAAAAAATCAGAAATAAATTAGAAAAAAAATCAGAAAAAATCAGAAAAAAAAGCAGAAAAAAAATGAGAAAAAAGCAGAAAAAAAATCAGAAAAAATCAGAAAAAAGCAGAAAAAAATGAGAAAAAAGCAGAAAAAAAAGCAGAAAAAAAGCAGAAAAAAAATCAGAAAAAAAAAATCAGAAAAAAAGCAGAAAAAGTTCAATTTCCCGTGCCGTTTATCGGGCGGAAGCAGCCCAAACCTGTTTCCAGACCCCCCCGGCCCCCGGCCCAGAAAAAAGGCAGGGAAAAAAAAAACAGAGAAAAGGCAGAAAAAGCACAAAAAAGAAAAGCAGAGAAAAAGCAGGAAAGAAAGCAGGAAAAAAGCAGAAAAAAAAATCAGGAAAAAAGCAGAAAAGGAGCAGAAAAAGAGCAGAAAAATCAGAAATAAATCAGAAAAAAATCAGAAAAAAAATCAGAAAAAATCAGAAAAATCAGAAATAAATCAGAAAAAATCAGAAAAAATCAGGGGAAAAAAAAGCAGAAAAAAAAACAGAAAAAAAACCCGGAAAATCAGAAAAAAAACCAGAAATAAATCAGAAAAAAAATCAGAAAAAAAGCAGAAAAAGTTCAATTTCCCGTGCCGTTTATCGGGCGGAAGCAGCCCAAACCTGTTTCCAGACCCCCCCGGCCCCCGGCCCAGATTTATCGGCGGGCCCGGGGCCGCTCAGGGGCGGCGATCTCGAACCTTCGCGGATTTGCATTTTCTCAAACCGCTCCTGCTTTTTTTTTTCTGTTTTTTTTCCTTATTTTTTCCTTCCCCTCCCTCCGCCATCCCGAGATAAAACCCGAGGAGCTGCGCTGAGATTTCCGCGCCTCCGAACCCTCTAAAAAAGGGTTAAAAACCCCCCAAAAAAACCCCCAAAAAACCCCAAAAAACCCCAAATTATCTCCCCGCCTTGAGGAGAAACCAGAGCTGGAGGGTTTCAAACAATTCCCCCAAAAATTCTTTGGGGTTTTTGGGTTCATTTTTTGGGTTTTCCTCGCCTCAAACTTTCCATCCTGCTCCCAGATTTAACCCTTCTGCTGCCGGCGGGGGTCCAGCGCCACCAAACTTCGCTCTGCCTTTAAAACCCCAACCGACAAAAAAATTCCATTTTTGAGGCGTTTCGAGCTGCGGGCAGCAGGAAGATTTCTCCAAACGCCGATTTATTTTCTAAAAAAAATGCGATTAAACGAAATAAAACGGGTGGGAAATGAGGCTCGAGCCGGGCAGGATTTTTCCAGGTCGGTTTGGGGAATCCTCCGCCCGGATTCGCCAAAATCCTCTTTATTTTCATTTCCAGACGCGTTTTCCACGAGTTCCTCGACGTTTTGCGACCCCATCGGCCACCGGGATTTAGGAACTTTTTTTTTTTATTTGTTTTTTCCCTCACTTTCCTTAGAGTTGTGCTAAAGAGCAGATATTTTTAAGATGACGATTATGAGGTTCTTTGAGAATAGAATTGAAGATGTTAGCTGATTTTATTAGGAAATAATCTTTAAAAAAAATTAAAAATAATAAAAAAAAAAAGTTGGAAAAATTGTTTTCTGTAGCATCAGCCCGGATGTATTTTGCAGAGATGTTTTAATGCTCCAGAATAAAAATCGATTTTAGAACAACGAGCGGCGCTGTCCTTGTGTTCCTCACCCCAAATTCTGCCATCATTCCCGCCGTGCTTCCCTGGGGGGTTTTTTTGGGGGTTTTTTTTGGGTTCAGGTTTCCAAAACTCAGCCCGAGAGAAGTGGGAACGATTCCCCTCTGGTTTTTATTTTTGACACAAGTTGAAATTCTGCGCCTCCGCTTTGCCCGCGCCTTTCATTCTGATTTTTTTTCTTTTTTTTTGGAGGTTCCTTCTCTTTATTCCCGCCCCAGCCTGAGCGGAAAAGGCTCCCAGTGGATTTTTTTTCTTATCCTCGCTTTATTCCCCTCTCGCCCGAGGAAAAACTTCTCCCGAGAAGATGAAAAAAACCCAAAAAAAACCCAAAAAATCCCAAAAATCCCAACGGGGAAACCCCACCCGCTCCCCCCGCCCGGCGTCACCTCGGGTTTCCTTTCTCCACGAGCGATTCCTGCGATTCCCTCCCGAAATTCCTTTGGCTCACGAAGCCCCGCAAGCGCCTGGAAAGCCGTTTTATATTTAAAAAAACATAAATAAATAAAATTAAAATAATAACAACTAAAGAGCGCCGAACAAACCCCGAGTCCTGCCGAGCCCCGCAGGAAACAGGTAGCGAGAAAAAGCCCGGAATACCCTTCCCACTAATTTTTAACAAAACGGGCCGCTCTAAAGGGCAATATTTCACTTCTTAAAGGGGGAAAAAAAGGCCAAAAACAAAAAAAAAATCTCCTTTCTTTGGGGCAGCCCTGAAAAGAACACAAAAGAAGAAGGAAGATTTTTTTGGGGGCTTGCGGAGGGGAAGGGAGAGAAAGGGAAGGAACTTGTCATAAAGAAAGGAAAATTCAGCGCAGCGCGCCGCCGTAAAAGAATATGACCGCTATAAAAGTTTATAGGGTATAAATTTGTGAAGGTTAAGGAACTGAGCGGCTGTAAAGGAAACAGCGCAGGGAAACTTTCAGGAACTCCTAAATTACTCCGAGGAGTCGGGAGAGGGGGAAGCCCAGCGAGGAAAGCGCCCGCGCTCAGCGGCTTCTCCTCCTTTTCCTTTTATTTTATTTTCCTTATTTTCCTTTTATTTTCCTTTTATTTTTTTCCTTTTATTTTCCTTTTATTTTGTTTTTTTCCTTTTATTTTCCTTTTATTTTCCTTATTTTCCTTTTATTTTCCTTTTATTTTTTTCCTTTTATTTTCCTTTTATTTTGTTTTTTTCCTTTTATTTTCCTTTTATTTTTTTCCTTTTATTTTCCTTTTATTTTGGTTTTTTCCTTTTATTTTCCTTTTTTCCTTTTATTTTCCTTTTATTTTCCTTTTTTTCCTTTTATTTTCCTTATTTTCCTTTTATTTTCCTTTTATTTTATTTTCCTTTTATTTTCCTTTTATTTTCCTTTTTTTTTTCCTTATATTTTCCTTATTTTCCTTTTATTTTCCTCCTTTCCTTGTTTTTTTACCCAAGGAGAGCCATCTCAAAAAATCAGAATTGTGGATGAAAAAAAAACCCAAAAAAGAAAAGGTGGGGAGGGACTTTTGCTGATTTATTCTTCTCTCGCAGATGGGGATGATTCCCTTTGTTCTTTTATTTTTTGTTTCCTTTTTTTTTTTTTACCCCTTTTATTTTTTTTTCTCTTTAAAGCAATTCCAGGCCTGCACAAAACAACAACAACGCACGCACTCCAAGTTCTGGCGAGACGTCTGGGCTGGGGAAGCTCTTTATGACTTTACAGCCCCGGGCAGCAGAATGACCAATTGTTTAGTCTCGGAATTTGAAACAATAGCTCGTTTCAAAAGCCAACTCGCTTCTCCTCTTCTTCTTCTTTTTTCTTTTTTTTTTTTTTTTTTCCTTAGAAATTTTATTTTTTTATTGCCGCGCGCTTGGAGAAAACTCGGCGGAGAGGCGACAAAAAAACTCATCCTCACTTTCCTCCTCTTTCCCTCCCTCTCCTCCTTTCCTTTTTTTACACTTTTTCACGCTGTTTCATCCTCACAGGGAGGAGCGGCGTTTTTAAATTTTGATGTTTTTTCCCCTTTTTTTGGGTTTTTTTTCCCCTTTTTTGGGGTTTTTCCCCCGGCGGGGACGCTCCGCTGCAGTTCCGCGCGCGGCCGCGAGGTGGAGCCGTTGCTCCACGCTAGAGGCGCCCCCTGGGCGGGAACACCTTGATCCCATTAGGTGAAATATTGGGTTAATTATCGCCGTTTTGCCCATTTTATCGCTTACATCTCCTCTTTTTTTTAAAAAAATTATGCCAGGCTGCGAAGGGAAAAAAACACCTCGCAACGAGGTGGGGCGCGCATCTCTGCTAAATGTTGGTTTAAAAGGGAATCAAAAAGGAGCCGGGTTTTGTTTTCTGCCGCTCTGGAGGTGGGAGGACAGCTGAAATTACCCCAAACCCGCAGATTTACGTCTGCGGGGTTGAAAAAAGAGAGCGGCTCGAAGATTTCGGGGGGAAAGGGACGCGCAGGAGCGGGACGATATTTTTCCTCTCGGCCCTTGGGATGATCTGCGCTTTCCCCGCTCGATATTTTATGTGTTTTATAATCCCAGCCACACCAGAAATAAAAAAAAATTTAAAAAAAAAATAAAAAAACAACTCAAGCAGCAACAAAACAAGAGCATTTATTTCTTTTAGAAGTTGAGCCACTCATTTGTGGCGCGGCTGCCCCGTCTTTGGGCAGCGCTGATGCTCTTCGCTTGAATTCTTCGCTTTAACAGCTTCAAAAATATATTTTTTTTAAATGCCACCAACGAGTAAATGAACCCAAAACGCTCTTAAACCCCCCGGGTTTGGGGTACATATGAATACACCCCTGACGCGGCGGCAATAATGTCAATTTTTAACTCCACGAGTTCACTTTGATTTCGGCCTTTGATTCCTCAGAATTACGAGGCAAAAATTAAAAAAAAAGGAAAAATGACTCAGATGTTGTAATTCTCCCGCTACAAACCGCGGCAATAATTTCAAGATGGGTTTTCATTCAAATTGGTATAAACGGGGTTTTTTTTTTTTTTTTTCCCGGACTGAGAATTGCTCCCAAGTTCCACCCGAAACCGCTCCCGTCGCTCCAAAAAAACAAAAAAAATCAAGATTTTGGGTGAGGGCGGATCAATTCCAACCCACAGGCAGCAGCCCAGGGTGGGAATTCTTATTGGGAGAGGCAAAGTTTGGGCACCTCGAGGCCGCGTTTCAACGCCCCGGAGTGAAATACGAGCGCAAACAGAAAGAAATGAGGGAAATGAAGAAAAATCTCGCCCCTGTGGCAGAGCAGAGCGAACTCGGGCTTTAGCAAGGAGAGGATTTGAGGATCTTTCAATTTTTTTATTATTATTATATTTTTTTTTCCTCATGAATTCCCAATAAATCTCTCCTCCGCTGGGTGTTTATAAATTATCTCTCCGCGGAGCTCACTCGCTCGGTTTTCCTTGGAATGGAAACGTTTTCCTTTCATCGGGAGCCGAGTCCCGCGCGGCGATGATTTAGGATCAGCCGCTGATTTCGGGGCTTTGCGGAGCTCCCGAGCCCGTCCTCACCCCTGCAAAACCTTCCCTTCCCACCACAACTTCCCGGCCTCCGCCAATCCCTGCCCTTCTTCCCCTTCCCAAACTTCGGGAACACCCACAGCGGGAGAAACTTCTGCTGCAAAATCACTTTGCCCCGTTTCATTTTGATTTTTTTTTTTTTTTCCCCTCCTTTGCCAGGTTACGAAGCTCTGTTTACTCCTCTGCACCATTTTCGGGGCTTTTTATGTTGCGCGATGAAACCCAAAATCTGCTCAATCGGCAATAAAAGTGGGGAGAAAAAAAGAAAATGTTAACTCGTGTTTTAGAGGGGCGAGAAAAGCTTTAATTATAGCGCCGCGAGTACTCCGGCAGCAATAATTACTGGGAAAGGCTCTTAGGCTCGGCTGGAATTATCCCTCCACAAAATAAAGGAAGCGTTTTTACCTAAATTATTTCTCCTAGGATGGGTTTAAAGTTTTATTCCGTTGCTATCTTTGTTTTCTTTTTTTTTTATTATTTTTTTCCTCTTCTTTTCTGCCTTCCTGCGCTCCCTGCCTTTCCCACTGATAATTTTAGTGAGGATTTTTTGATTTTTTTTTAAACCTAGGTAGAAGAACGGAAATATTTCAACTTTTCCCTCTTTTTTTTCGTGCGGAGGAGGTTGAATTTTGTCCCTCAGTTGGTGGCGGGCAGGAGCCGAACCCTCCCAAAATTCACTTTTTGCCTTCAGACCGGGGCGATGGGGAAACAGCAGAAACAGGCGGGGCAAAGCGGGGAAAAAACAACCCAAATTGAGGTGGAAAAAGGCTGGGAAGGAAAATCCGGCTGGAATTGCGGGGGGCGCAGTCGTTATTAACCGAGAAACGTCTGGGTGATATTTGCTGACTGCGAGAAATGAATTTCCAAATCTACCCCCTGTGTGTTCCGGCGGTGGAAAATTGCAGCGCTGGCATCCGAGGGGCAACTTCGGCTCCGCCGTCACCGAATGCCAATAAAAGAGAAATCTTTTCTCTCTCCCCGTCCCCATCCCCCCCGGTTTTTTCCCTGGGAAGAAGTGTGGGGAGGAAAAAAAAAAAAAGAAATAATTGAATTAAAAGGAATGGGATAGAGAGGAATGGGATAAGGGGAATGAAATAAAGAGGAATGGAATAAAAAAGGAATGGAATAAAAAGAATGGAGTAGAGAGGAATGAAATAAAGAGGAATGGAATAAAAAGGAATGGAATAAGAGGAATGGAATAAAAAGGAATGGAATAAAAAGGAATGGAATAAAAAGGAATGGAATAAAAGGAATGGAATAAAGAGCTGGAAGTTTTGGGGGCGAGGTGGGGCTGCCACAGGGGAGGGTCTCTGCTCTGGAGGCCGCCAGAGCCTCAAATTTGGAGTTTGGAGTTTGGAGTCACCCCCGAGCGAGTCCTGGCTGAGGAGGAGGAGGAGGAGGAAGAGGAGGAGGAGGAGGAGGCAGCGAGGGCGAGCGGCGCGAAGTCGACGTTCCAGCCGAAAAAGTGCGGCGGTTTTAACTCAACATTGACAGCTCCGCGCCTCGCCGCGGCCGCGCAGCGCCGGGCTTTGCAGCGGCGGAGGGGCGCGCTCGTAAAAACCAGAACGGTTTTTATGGAGAGCGGCATAAACAACAACAACATCCCCGGCTTTATGGCGCTTTATAGTTTGTTAAACACTTTACAGCCTCTTTTTTTTGGGGCTGTTACAAACGCAATTCCCTCCGCGCGATAGTTAAGCCTTTATCAATAATAAGGAAATTGATCATTAAAATGTTAAATATGACTACCTCGTTTGTTTTAAAATATGTTTAGGATAAGAAGCTGTATGATTTGATAACTTGTATTAAAATACCAATTACATTTATAGGACCTTTTAAAACCGGTAGCAATTAAATCGTGTTCTTTTACAGTTTTCCAAAGCGACCCTGACATTTAAAAAGGCTAAAACTGCCTCGTTAAAATTTCGAAATTAACGACTGCGAGCGCTCCTCTTTAATTTTCCAACACTCCCCAAAAATCAATCTTTTGGGGTGGTCCGGGCGCGTGATTTGTCGCGAGGCGAGCGATACCTCATTAATGGAGGTAGTTAAACATATTTAATCCGTATATTCACCCCACCTCCTTCTCCCTTCCCCTCTCCCTCCCTCTCCCTCTCCCTCGCTCGCTCCCCCTCGCTCGCTTTTCCTTCTTTATTCTCCCACACTCTTCCTTTCACAACCGCGCGGCGCGGAGTCCGTGTGGAGTAAGGAGAAGCCAATAGGATGAGGTTTCGGTAATAGATGCAAATGATCATGAAAAGACACTGCAAAATATGAAACAACTCATTTGCGCTGAAGTAAATCACTGAAAACTGTTTATGAACTGGCATCTCTTCTTGGAAATGTAAAGCGAGAACTCTTTAAGTGGCGATTTTTTTTTTTTTTTTTTTTTTTAGGGGTGGGGGGGGAGGAAAGAATTCAATATCATGCAGGCTTAGAGTTTTGATTATATCCTCCTTTTATATTCCTGGAAATCACAAACTGTCGTTGCTTAGCATCTTAGCGCTTTCTTTTTTTGCTAATAGATTCTCGCGGTCTGGTTTGTTGTGGGGGCGATATTTTTTTTTTTTATAATTTTTTTTAAAATTTTTTTTTCCGCCTGCTTAAAAAAAAAAGGACAAGGGGCAAAAAAAAAAAAAAAAAAAAAAAGAACAACAACCTCTTATTGAAATTAAAATGAGCTCCTATTTTGTCAACTCACTCTTCTCCAAATACAAAACCGGCGACTCCCTGCGCCCCAATTACTACGACTGCGGCTTCGCCCAGGATCTGGGGGGCAGACCCACCGTGGTGTACGGAGCCAGCGCCGGGGGCACCTTCCAGCCCCCTCCCCAAATCCAGGAGTTCTACCACGGCGCCTCGTCGCTCTCCAGCTCCCCTTACCAGCAGAACCCGTGCGCCGTGGCTTGCCATGGGGAGCCGGGCAGCTTCTACGGCTACGAGCCCCTGCAGCGGCAGAGCGTGTTCGGGCCGCAGGAGCCCGAGCTGCTGCAGTACGCGGACTGCAAGCTGGCGGCCAGCGGCCTCGGCGAGGAGGCGGAGAGCTCCGAGCAGAGCCCTTCTCCCACCCAGCTTTTCCCCTGGATGCGACCGCAAGGTGAGGAGAAAACTGGAGAGTAAGGAAGTACCCCCCCCCCCACACCAGCCGATTTAATTTTGGCTTGTTGGTGGTGTATTTTGATTTTTTTTTTTTTTTTTTTTCTGTCCTCCCTCCCCGTGCGTTTCTTTCTTTGGCTCGTCTTTTTCTTCCCCCCGGTGAATGTGTTTTAGTGCTTTATGGGGGTAAACTTTTGCACTTGTAAATTGCTTTATAGTTTAATTACCCTGAAGGAGACCTTTTCTTCTGGGGGGCTTGAGCGAGCCGGGCTTTCTGTGGAAGGAAGAGTCCTTAAAGTTTATGGCACTTTTATAGCCTCGAAAAAAAAGCCCCTTCATTTTTGTTCGCAGCTCTCGGCCGCGCTGCCTCCTCTCTCCGGGCTGCAGCTTTTTATTTATTCCCGGTTTTTTGGGGTTTTTTGGGGGGCCCGGGCTGCGCTGGGGGTGATAATCAGTGTGCAAAGCGCAGCTCCAGCCGGGCTGCTCGGGGTGGGCTGAGCGCGACCACCCCCCCCTCTCCCTTCCCTCTCCCCTTTTCCTTCCCCTGGTCTCCCTCTTCTCCCCTCTGGAACATCCTCCCGCTTTTCCTGCCGGGGTCTCCGGCTCTCCCGAGCCTGGTTTGTGTTTCTCTCAAGCTCCTTCTCTGTTTTTTTTTTTTTTTTTTTTTTTCCCCTCTCTCCCACCCCAAATTTGCCATCCCCCAGCAGCCGCCGGACGCAGGAGGGGGAGGCAAACCTACAGCCGCTACCAGACGCTGGAACTGGAGAAGGAATTTCTATTTAATCCCTACCTGACCCGCAAGCGGAGGATCGAGGTCTCGCACGCCCTGGGCTTGACAGAGAGGCAGGTCAAAATCTGGTTCCAGAACAGGAGGATGAAGTGGAAAAAGGAGAACAACAAAGACAAGTTTCCCAGCAGCAAATGCGAGCAGGAAGAACTGGAAAAACAGAAAATGGAAAGAGCCCAGGAGGCGGACGAGGAAGGGGAAGCACAGAAGGCGGACAAGAAATAAAGGGATTTTTTTTTTTTTGAGGACTGAAAGGCAAGCGCTGCTGGGGTGGAAGAGCCCCCCGAGCCCCGCGTTAATGGCAGTCGGTGTAAGGGAGGGGTGGGCTGGGGGGGACACACAAAAAAAAAAAACAACAAACCAGAAAAACAAAGCCTAGAAAATACAAAAAAAAAAAAAGAAAAACCACAAAAAAAAACCCACAAAAAACCCCAAGAAAACCGACCCCTTTTATTGCTGTAAAACAATATAGCTGCGAGCGCCACTTTCGCGATTCTCCTTTGACACAAAGCAGGAGGCGGGGGGGCTCCGGGAGCTCTGGGCCCCCTTTTGCCAGTTATTAACTAGCGGTAGTGGAACGCAATAGCTTCTGTAAAACATGACTGTGAAATCCTCTCCCTCTCTGTCTTTCTCTCTCTTCTTTCCGGGGGCGTGGGGGGTGGGTTGGTTAACATAGCTTTCAGCGCTAGAGGAGTTATGTGATATTACATTTGTGCACTTTTTTTTTGTTGGTTTTTTTTTTAAATTTTGGGTCTCTAGTTGGTTATTTCCCCATTCCTGTTTTTTTTTTTTTTATTATTATTATTTTTGTTGTGGTTTATCTGTGTGTACTGGAGGTAGCTGTTGAGACAAACATCCCAACAACATGAAACTGCCTATTTATGCTGTAGTTATCTCTCTTTCTCTCTCTTCACTTTCCAAAAAAAAAAAAAAAAAAGCGTTTTTCTCTCCTTTAGTTAGCATGCGCACAGTGAATCAAGTTGTAAAGTGATCTTTAGGTTAACTGTGAAAAAGAATGTATACTGTATACGTGAATTACTTTATTGGGGGAACTAATGCTATATTTTGTTGTTCTTTCACCACTTTGTTCTATTGTCTAAACCTGGAAGCGGCGGAAGAAAAGTTACAATAAAGTTTACAAGCGAGAATTCCGTGACATCATTCTTTTCGCCCCTGCTCCGCTTCCTCCTGCGCCCGCTGGGATGGAAAGGAAATTTAAAAAATCAAATTTGTGCGCGGACAAAAAGGCAAAAGCTCGGCCGGGCCGGGCAGGGCTGGGGAGGGGAAGGGCCCGGGGCTGCTCCTGCTGCTCTCCCTCCTCTTCCTCCCGCTCTGACAGCTCGGGCAGCTCCTGGAGACCCGCTCTGCAGGTAACCTCGCGGCGGTTTTTTGGGTTTTTTTGTGGTTTTTTTGGTGTTCTGCGGCAGCCCCGGGCGGGGTGGGGATGGCTTTGTGAGGAGCGCAGCTGAGCCGGGGATGCTGTAACCTTGGGGAAGGAGAAACCAGCGCCAACCCCGCACCATTGTCTGCCCTTCCTGCCTCCCAGAGCCGGGTTTTGGTGCTTTTTTAAATTTTATTTTATTTTCCTTACTCTCTACACCCGCCTCCCCATCCCACCCCAGCGCGGCCGCACACTAAAAAAAATTAAAATAAAAAAAACCAAGGGTGAGCTGGCGTTTTTTGCGTTTTTTGGATGGTTCCCGTGCAGAAAGCAGAGCCGGCAGCTGCTCGGCCCCGCAGAAGCGCCGAACAAGAGACCCCAGCCCCCTTTATTTCCCCCAACAAGAAAAGCAAATGCCAGCTCGATGCTGGAATAAATCAGGTACAGAGCTGCGCGGCACTTGGGGGGTGGAAAAAAAAACTATTAGGTATCAATGTCTGGAGAAAAAAAAAAGTAGCTGGGAGCCGAGGAAATGGTGCGAAGGAGGGGAATTTCGAGGGGATCAATAAAGGGATAAATAGAACTGCCTTCCCTTTCCTCCAGCAGAGAGAGACCGAGAGAGCCTCGCTGGTTTGTCAGCAACGTGCTTGCAACCCCCTCCCCTTCTTCATGTATTTTTTTTTTTATTTTTTTCCCCCCCTTTCCCCCCCCCCCCGGGCCGAAAAAAAAAAAAAAAAAAAAATTACAGGCTGCTTATCGACTCCAGCACAATTTCACCCCTTCCAGCAGAGATCGCGCGGGGTTTTTTTTATAGGGCATCAATTATTTATCATATTTTATAAACCCAGCCGCGCAGCCCCGCGCCCCCGAGGAGGGGGCGGGCGGCGATTGGCGCCGGCGCGGCCACGTGCCCGCGCGTCACCGGGGCCGGGAGGAAAAAAGGCTCTTTTTTGGTGTAAATCTGGACTCTTAATTCCGTAATATATCACGGTACCTCGTAAAAACCGACACTAAAACGTCCCGACCTACAAATCACCCGGCCAAATTATGAGTTCATTGTATTACGCCAACGCTTTATTTTCTAAATATCAAGCGGCCGGTTCGGTTTTCCCGTCCGGAGTGTTTCCCGAGCAAACTTCTTGCGCTTTCGCCTCCACCAGCCAGCGAGCGGGCTATGGGGCCGCATCCACGCCTCCCTTCGCCGCTTCCATGCCCGGCCTCTACTCGGGGGGCAGCTCCGTGCACCCCCAGCCCCCCAGCGTGTACTCCTCGGGTTACGGCCTGGAGCCGGGCTCCTTCAACGTGCACTGCTCGCCTTTCGAGCAAAACCTCCCGGTGATGTGCCCCGGGGACGCCTCCAAGCAGGGCTGCGGCAAAGCGGACCCGCGGGACGCGGATCTGCAGGGCGACGGCAACTTCCGAATCTACCCCTGGATGAGGAGCACGGGTAAGGGAGAGGGGAGGGGGTGGGGGTGGTGGGGGGTCGTCCCCCAACTCCTTTCATGACGTTTCACTGAAAAGGCGTTTTGGAAAAAGAGGGGGGGGGGAGCAACACACCCCCACCCCCCTCCTGTCCTCCCCGCGTTTTTAGCTTTAAATATTGACGGGGGCTGTGCCTGTCTGTCTGTCTGTCTGTCTGGAGGGGACAGACGGCGGCGGGCAGCCCCTTCTCCTGCCGCTGCGTTCGCGGAGAGGTGGAGCCGGCCCTAAACCCGGCTC